ATGATATTGAAACATCTGTGGAGAAAGATATTTTGCATGACCTTTAGGGCACTCATTAGATTTAACAATATTGCAGGCAAATTCTCAATATTTTTTTTTTAACGCAAGCTGTTTTTGTACAGTCCAGTGTAATTAGAGTTTCTGCTGACAGTTTACACGATGATAGAAAAGTCACGCTGACACAAGTGGCCAACATCTGTCACTGCCCACAGCCCAACGCTATGACAGACTGCAAAATATAGGGTTTTCACAGGGATTTGTATGGAGCATTTCCAGACTTTAACAGTCACTGTCACTTCTCTCAATATGGCACCGTGAACTGTTGCATCTCAAATTCTCAGGATGAGACAGGAGGGAGCAAGATTGCAGAAAGATCTAGGTTACGCTCTAATGAATATACAAATAAATGACACAATTCCACTGTCAAAATTTGCTGAGAACAAAAAAATAGCATGCAGTCACCAGGGGTGTAGGAAACAATTATGCATATGAATTAGTACAATTATGCATTTGTCAGTGACCGATTTGCTGAAAAGCATGTAAAAGGGTGTCACATTAGGATTAAGTGTCCATTCGTTCGATTTCAGAAGATCCTCTCGGTTGGCTTGCTCCTAAATCGAGTTTAATTTTGTCCAACATATACATTTAAAATGCTCATGCAACAGGCTAGGGATTTTTTTTTTTCCTGACTCTCTCTGTACGCCTTTTTGCATGATAAATGTTTTATTAAGTCTTCAAATTCACCCCAGCTGGTCAGTTTAGTTTGATGTTGAAAAGACCATTTCAGCTGAAAATACATTTGTGCAAATGACATCAACACATAAATGTTTTTTTCTTCTCCCCCAAAGCAAGAAATAAGTATGTACAGTAAGTGCTAATAGAATGCTTTGTCTGTTATTGCTGTAGCTGCCAGCCATGAAACCGAGTAACCAGACCTTTGGGACTGCTGAACAGATTTTACCCAACAATAACATAGTTTTTTTTTTTTTCTGTATTTCTTGAACCTCTGTATGCTAATTACTTTCCTTTTGTGATATACAGTGTGAGCCAAATATTCATGCATCTTTTGCTGCCCTGCATGGTTTGTCTCACAATTCAAATAGCCAGAGATTTTTACAGGAGAATTACAAACAATTGCAAGCTCTGCTGTTTTCTTAAATGTACATGTTCTGGTGCATAGTTGACCCATATAAATGCTGAATAGCCATCAGGGGATATGTTGTGGCCATCACCTGCAAAAGGTGACAGTGATGTTTTTTTGTCATGATGTAGGCCAGATATTTTAGCCCCCAGAGGAATTGGAGATGGGTTTTTTTGCCCTTTGTTTATTTAAATGAATTCTCAAGAACTGACTCTTTCCACGTCCCCCTGATGTAAATGTGATTGAAATCTGTGTGGGGTGCATAATATATCATGAAGTCAGTTATGCAACAATTACAATATTGACTTGTTGTTAAGATTGTCTTTTATAGCCAGACCTTTTTTTTTTTTTTTTTCACGTTGATTTCTGGCCAAAAAGCTTCACACTGTGCCCAACAATTTAATTTAATTTAATTTAATTTAATTTAATTTAATTTAATTTAATTTAATTTAATTTAATTTAATTTAATTTAATTTAATTTAATTTAATTTAATTTAATTTAATACTTATTTTATATTTTAAATGTCTGTAATAGGGTGACCACCATCAAACAAACCAAATGTGGGACAATTTTAAGTTTATGTGGGACAATGTGGGACATGTACCAACACTAAAATATACCCTGAAACTATATATAATGTCTATATAACTTGATAAAAACATTTATATTCTGCCTTTCAGCAGATAAAAATGATTTTTTCTTTAGTCCCTTCCAGAAAAAAAAATCTTTATTTTACTTGTCATTTAAATTCAACATCACTGAGCCCAAAGGCAGCAGAAGTCGTATATAAATATTTTAGAAACAGTTCTGACCAAGTCCAACAAAATAAACGATGAACAAATAAAGTATAAAACAACATGAAATTAGATAGACAGTCTTATATATTAAGAATATATTAAAAAAACAAAACTAAAAACTTTCATATTTTTAGAAAGGATATGAATTAAAACAACCACAGCAGGTTAAACAACAATAGATAAATTCCGTTAAATTAAAATTTTCATTTACCGAATTATCCATTTGTTTTCTGACAGGGAACATATGAAACGAATCAACGGTCCACATTTTGATTGACAGCCGTCACAACCTACGAGTGACCGTGGCTACTCCTTTCTTTTCAACCATTGGATAGTATATAAAACACAGCTGTTGTATTTGTACTTATGACGAAGTGCTGAAAACTACGCAGCAAAAGTAATAAGTAATGCTTTCTTAAAAAAGGCAAAAGAACGCATACACGTTTTCTTAATATGATAATTAAAAACCAATAGACTGATGAAAATGCGGGACATTTCCTCAATATACGACGAGCGGGACAAGGGGGGAAAATGCTGTGCAGTACAACGCAAAGCGAGACAGGTGTTCACCCTAGTCTGCATTGCCAGTGTTACCAACACAGCATTATTACACTAGTCTACCGTGAGATGGAAAGAGAGAACGGTTCAGAAGATCATGCTCTGAATACACGGCAGAGCTGATCAGTAAACAATCACTGCAGGTACAGTTTAGATGCAGAAGGAGACAATCACATCACTCTGCCTGCTGGGAGACTGTCACACGATGATCTATTGTGAACATTGCGAGTGATAGACAGCCCTCATTTGAAAGTCAAAGCCAAGACACTTGGCATGGATGTGGCGTAGACGATTTATGGCCACCTGATAAAGTTATGATGACTGTCCCAATAGGTGGTTGCACAGCTTTCAATCTTCCTTCTAATGCTCCCTCTCTTCTTGGCATACAGGCAGCCTGAAATATGACAGTCATGCATGGTGAGATTGAAATAAAAGCACAGATGGGTAGCACAGGTTTGCATCGAGAACGCTTGCTCATTTTCTGGGCCAGTCATGTGCCCGACTTCAAACCGATGATGTAAAATATGGATGGTGTTTGGACAGATCTCTGCTGAATTGCTTAGTTCTGAAAACCAGTGCCATGTCATTCTAATATTGTTTCGATTCCAAATCCCTGAACTCTTGCAGGACAACTCTATCTCACAGTAATCGTCCTGAGACCTGTGACGAGGGGGGGCTCGTTTCTCATTTGAACTCATAACAAAACTGCTCTGGTCTCTACTCTCAGCCATATTTATTCATTTTTTATTTGTTTTATTTATTTTTCTATATATATTTGTTATGTTTATGAGCTGATTTTGTTGCTTCATTTGCTTTCTCTGACAGAAACACTCTTTCTTTTTTAGTGTTTAGTAAATTCTGATATATTTTTAGATGCCTTATTTTGTCACATGGGAAGGTCATTGCCACTGAAATTTTTTCAACTCTAAAAAAATGCTCATTGTAAATAGGTGTACAATTATAACAGTTTCTATTTCATTGCATTATTAGTTTTTTTCTACTTTAGTAATGAACTTTAACTGATTGATTGATTGATTTTATCTTTTTTTTAAATAATTTCTTTATTTTAATCAATGCATTTCTTTATTGAATACATTTTTATTATGTATTATAAATAATGTTTTTAATACATTTTTAATTATTTTGAATGTCATTTTATTAATAATTTTTATAATTTTGTTTATTTTAAGGAATATATATATTTATTTATTTATTTATTTATATACTATAGTTAGTTAGTTTAATCTTTTTTTTTCTCTAAACTTTTACACGGACATACTTGGGGTCTCCAGACCCCCATTTCTTTAAACCCACTAAATTTAAGGCATGAAAATGTTCCACAGGGTTCCAGACTGCGACCAAATTCGTCGTTTCGAAAAATTCGTCATTTTTTTGAGAATGTGCGACTGCGAGTAAAAATTTTATGTGGTGAGGTCGCATTTGTGCGAGTGGACGCTCGCGCAACAGAACGCCGTTGTATCAGCTGCTGCAGTCCGTAACTTATGTTCGAAATGAACGAGTAGGCTACGTCATGAATCCATTTTCCAAACTGAGTTTTTGACTTATCCTGAATCACTATGATACGCCTATAATAAGTGTTTATATTCTGACTATTTTATCCTGTGTCTTGGATGCGGAGTTGCCGAGTGCCTGCGTGACTCGCCATAGAAATTAATTTTTGATATGTTTTAGCTTACCTCAAGGGCATCCAAGATGTAAGTGTTTTTGTTTCCACAGTATTTTCAATTTTGACATTTTTCGGTCAAACCGGTGTTGTCTGTCAGTCATATAATGCAGGTTTAGGCGGTCCATCTCAAAGAGCATGCACAGAGAAGTCCAAATGAAACATGATTTAATGACTCGTGAATGTAAGTACACACTGATGGCCTAAGACACGAAACGAGCGGTTTGTGTAAGAAAACGAACAGTATGTATATAGTTTTTACCTCTTGTTGTTAACAGCTATGTCGAACTGATCTGAATCAGATGTCTAACTGAACCGAACTGAACCGTGTCCAACGTTATCTGTCACGCATTGTTTACACAGGGATTTCGGAAGTTTTACCTTTCACTAAACATATTCAGATATACGGGAAATCGCAATGGAAGATGATTTTGATATATCTAAATATGTCTGGAGCCCTGTTCCATAACACATCTTAATCTAAATGTTAGCTCGATGTGTGTGCCTGACTGCAATCTAATGCACTCTCCGTCATCACGGCAATGTATGGATCCTTTTTCTTAGCTTTATCTTTATTTCCTCGTGGTGCTCATTATTCCTTAATTGATTCAAAGTAGATTTAATCTTGCCTTTGAGTGTGGACTTTTTATTGAAAGCATTAGTTTTAAATCCACAGTAGATTGGCATCCTCCTTTGTCTGCTCTAATTAGCTGAGCTGTGATGCATTGTTTGTTTCAAAAAGGCTTCAAATGCTCCGCTTGACTTAACCTAGACAGTTCGATGTTTATTTGCTTATTCATGTCCTTTGTTTTATTACAGGAGGGTAATGAGAAGTTCCAAAACATGGTGGCCAGCCGTCCTGCTCTGGGGAGCAGCGCTGATCGCAGAGGCACGTCCAGGCAAAGAAGAATTCAGCCCGCTGGCGTATCGACCTCTCGTCAGATTCCGTCACAAGGTATCGATCTTTCCTATTTCATTAGCCATCCCTTTCTAAGAGGAGACTCCTGTGTGGCCGGTTACGACGCTAATTACTATGGAAATCCGCATGGCATCGAGCGCTTCTGCTTTGATTACTGTCCCATGACAATTCATAATTCATAAAACCAAATATCAGACATGCATAATAAAGTTTCAACTAAAAACTATTGGATCTATGCCACTGGACATTTCGAACTTCTGGCGAAAACTCCAGCTGCGCTGACATCATGATGAAACAGCACAGCGTGATTGTGTAATTGAATGTTTATTGACTGGCTGTTGCAGAGAGCTTTGTGGACACACACAGTAAGATACCAGCAATTGAGGTGTAATGCAGCACTAACAAGCTCCACTGGTTCCCTCTTCTCTTTTTATTCCATCACCTCCATGAGGAAATGTTCATATTATGTAACAGATCAATTAAACTCCGACTGAGGGAGGGCACTGACTGACAGAACAGGGACTCGTGGGAACACTTTCCTTTTATACCACCAATAAACATTTGGACAGGGAGGTCACGCAAATTGTCCCTTTAAGTCATGTTTATTTTTCAGTTGCTGGAACTCCTGGAGCGTTTTCATACTAAACCTTTGGTGCAAAGTCTGTTTGACGTTTGACACGAGAAAGCTCTGCCTGGAAATGTGGTCTGGAGCCAATTGAGGAAATAAATCGTTATTGATTATGTAAATTTGACATCTTTACATGCTCACTGTCACACTCATTATTACACTAAAATGCATTTCTCAACGAGAGCATCTTTCATTATTTTCATCTCTTGCAGTTTACAAACAGAAACTGAAGGGGTGTTGTGTGCTTGTACTTCAATAACACGTAGAAGCTGGTGTCTTCTCCTCCTGAGTCATTACCTAGCTACAGGGAATTACTGTTAGAGATGATGCAATGAAGCCACTGTCCTGACCCAAATGTACATTGTGGAAAGAACCAAGCAATTCAACCAAATGTGAAAACACAGCCTCAGAGTAAAAACACACCTAAGCTTTTAGAATATTTTTTCACGTGTTACCATTTCAGACAGCTTTTAGTAGTGTCATGCTATCAAAATATTAAATTCATGCATGAGCTTTGGTGTTAAATATTATTTCATTAGAAATAAGATATGCAGTGTTTCATAGAGGACGAACTTCCTGTGAGTTTTTATTTCTCGTAAGGAACTGATACTAGAGCATCAATATCACGTCAGCCAGTTCAGTGAATTATAAATGTGTTTTAAGTGCACATTTAACCTGTGACACTGTCATTAATTATCTGAAGGTTACCTTGAATATCCCACTCCACTCAAGTATCAGTGTTGTCTGCTAATACTGTACTCGCAACCTTCTGACATGCATTTAATAAAGCTGGATATTATGAATGAAGATGCCCTTCGCTCTTCTCGTTCACTATTAATTGCTAATGTTCTCATATATATCAGAAGGCATACATAGTTGAAATGTGGGAACTTTGGGAACACGTAGCTGCCATTTTTCTTACAATAACTTCCTTATCAGACACAGTGTGTGGAAAATCCATTAAGTGCAAAACAAACAAACAAACAAACTCCAGCCTCAGATAAGAATGTATTTGATGGCACAAACCAGGAAGAATATTAGTAATAGTAATTAATAATTATAATTATGTTTAGCGGTTATGTTATATGTGTCATATGAGTGGGGCTATTATGGAGTTTTTCAGTAATATGAAATCATAAAGATGGCTGGCTAGGGTAAGGGGGGAGGTGTGTTGGACAGGGGCTGCAGAGTTGAGCCTGTTTTTCTGGCACGGGCACAGAGATAAGCGGTGACCCCATTAGCTTTCCCTCAACTCGCCCTGCTTCAATCATCATGAGTAATTCAGCTTATAGTATGAAGCTTTGTCCTGCTCTGCAAAGCCAATCTCCTGTCAAAGCCAAAGGTTTAATTCACAGTAGCCCCATCCTTCCTCTACCTCCACTCAGATTATAGCCCATTTTTGGCCCCACCCCACATTTAGACCAATCAAAAAACTCGATTTTTGAGTGACAGATGGAGCACATGTAAGATAAAGCAAGCAGGGCGGGGACTTGTAGGATCTTATTATAGCTGTGATTTCATTTCTGTAGTTCAGTTGCGTAAATGATGTAGAATTGATTCTAGGAAGTTAATCTATTCACCAAGCCTCAAAAGTCTTCAGAGAGTCATGAATGAGCTAAATGCTCTCTCGACCATTGCAGGAATGTGACTTTAAGATAACATGAAATGAATAACAGTTCAGGGCAATTATACGTCTTCCTCGATACATTAAATCAAGAAACAACCACTGTATGCTTACATTTTAAATAAGAACTGCAAAGTCAGATGGTGAAAAAAGGAACTAAAATGGTAAATAAAGGAGACAAATCTGGAGAGAAGTGTTGGGGACAGGAACCATTCAAATACACCATTTTAAGTGCGTAACTGAAGGTTTTATGCTCGAGTTAAGAAGCTGCTGTTGTGAAACTGTGTTTGTGACTGGCACAACAACATTTGTTTAATTTTGGACAGATTGGACAAATGGTTTCAAAGTGCTTGGAAAACAGAGAGAAAGCTTGTAATTTGCTTCCTCATGGCAATCATTTGAAATGAAAATCTTCACCAATTATCCATCTTATATGAATAATCCCTCTAGATATCCAAATCATCTGGTTGATCTACTTATATCAAGACTACTGATATATCGACTGATTACTGATTTTAATGCTCGACTACACAAGCCAAGTTTATAGTCACCATTTTTCCTCATACATAGTCGCACACTGTAATTCATGAAGCAATAGAGTGCCGAAGTGATGACGTCACTTTGTAGGACAACTCGGCGGTGCATGGGTTCCCTCGGTCGAAAAGCAATGCATTTTCCCCATAGACTTTTGGAAAACCGCAAAAAATAAGATCTGTGTTCAACAAAGAGTTGTGACCCTTACACGTTTTGTCTAGCAAGATAATCTTTACAAGTTAATCCAAGATGTATACATTTTGAAGCATATAAAGATTTTAAAAAACACAATCAGACACAACAAAGTTTAAAAAACCACAAGCAGGTTATAACTGTGTTGATCAAAACGTGAAAATGTCATTGATCAAAACGTGAAAATATTTGGCTTTGTTCACCACAGACCTTATTTCAGGCGATTTAGCAAAAATCCATTCAAAAATCCCATAGGCTTTAGAGCGAGGGAAACGTAGTGCTGAAATGCTAACTCACTTCCACGTTTTGGCCTACAGAGTGACGTCGTAACTTTGGCACTCTATAGAGGGAATGCATTGACGTCACTTTCCCGCCGGGACAACCCCCCTCTCAGCCTGACTGAGTGGCAAAAGATCTGCTGCGTGACTGGATTTAATAGGGCAAACTGTGATAATGCGACTAAAACGAACAATTTTATCAATTTAAACTCAATGTTGGACTCAATATAGTGCTCCTTACAACTTACTAAAGATCCAGTGATACATGGATATTGACATGCAGCCAGGAATCGCGTTGCCTGATATTTATGTTTGACTGATTTCGACACCGGGAAATGAAAGCAGTATAGACCTAAACATAACGCAAATTTGCCTGCGAATGCTTTATATTAATGCAATATAGGTAGGTCTAATCCGCGTGATCACTTATATCAGTGTTATATACTTTGTATATCATCATATCGTCCAGGCCTAAAACTTTATGTTTTTTTTTGTTTTTTTTTTGGTCAGTGTCAGTGTTTGGTTTGGACAGTGAAAAAACATCCAATAATGCAGAATATGCAATGATAAATATTTAATTGATAAGTTGTTAATATATATATAACAAAACAAAATATGTATGGTTTTACACCTAAAGTCGGAATATTGACACAAAATGATAACTGCAAATCCACCTTTCGCTGACTGGAGTCCAGTTGTTTTTTTTTTTTTTATTTGTTCCTCTTTCTATAGCAGTCTGTAAAAATATATCTCTGATTTTTTTGTCAAATCTAGTTGTACAGTCAATCGCAAAGCTCTTTCCCACTTTATATGTGTTGTGTTGTGTTGTGGGTATGAAATGCCATGAAAAGGAAAATGAAAGGGTAAATGATGACCAAGTTTTAATTTTGGGTCGCCTAAAGCTTCTGGTTTCGAATTTTGATACCCCTTTTCTTTTCTTTTCCATCTTATGACACTGTTGTGTGTCTTTCTTAGAAGCAAAATGATAGCTTACATTAGCATTTCCCATTTGTCTCCAACGGTGGAATACGGCATTCTTTAACCTTTAGAAATAGACTCGTTGAGAGACTGCCGTGCCCTGGCTGGTCTGAATAAATGAATCATTTAACTCATACTGACAAATAATTCAGGCACCAACATTTTAAAAGAATATTTAGGCTTTCTATGGAAATATGCCATGGAAATTATGTATAACATACTTTTAAAGAAAGGAAGGAGCAGCAGTCGATTAAAGTAAGACTCTGTAGTTTTTCAACCTTCATAATACAGTATATTTCCGAGATCCAACATCGACTTACAATAGGTTGAATGACACGTCTGCTATAGCCTGAGGTGCTCTGTATCGCTTTTACTTGCACTATGTAACTTCAGGTTTTGGTGTAATGTGTAGCTTGACTGCTAAATCCCGCTGCTATGTGCAAGATAAGATGAAAGCAGTTTGTTGGCATCAAGTAACACATTTATTTGTATAGCACTTTTCATAGTAGGTTCTGCGAAGTTTAAAAATACTACTTTTATTGTGTCACGAAATTTAGTTTGAAAAGTTTTTCAGTCGAGAACTTTACACATATTTAAAGTTTAAAAACATTAATGACTCGTTATAACTTAGTTCATACGTCTTCTATAATAAATGATTTTCTCTGATTTGTAACCAGGCACTAAAGCGAATACCATAAAACTAGCTTTGAACCAATCGGATTGCTTACCCATCTCTTCAGTGGGACTCATCTCTTCACCACACGGGCGCTGGATAAACAGCGTGCGTGCGTATATGACAGTAGGCTACGGTAGGCTAAATTATTTACGACAGCGGTAATGGACAATTCCGCTTCCAACCTGCAGGGCGACCGCAGAGGAAAAGTTCCTTGGAGTTGCTTTAAATAAAGTAAAAAAAAAAAAATACATTTTTTAATGTAATAATGCAATTTTAGGGTGTGTAAAACATTAAATATCAAGTGTGTGGATGTCTGTGATCAGGACTCAAATGACTTTCTTTACTGTGAATGTATTGTAAGTACTGTTTTTCTCTGTGTTCTTGTTCCAGCAGGATGGGATCTCAGAGAGTTTACGGATTAAAGGTATGTACAATTGCCACTTCTCTTTCTTCCCACCTTTTTTAGACACTCACAAATCAAATATATTTGGTAACACTTTACTTGAAGGGGTGTGCATAAGACATGACACCCTTATAACCATGACATGACATATGTCTTGAATATGAAGTAGGGTTTATGCATGTTTATGACTACTGTCATTAAGTGTCTTTCACTCTTTGTTATGACATCTTGACATAAACCAATAAATCATAACCTGTCAGTGTCTTTGTCTTGTGTCTTGGACAGGTTATGATTTATTGGTTTATGTCAAGGTGTCATAACAAAGACATCTCAAACGATGTCCTATTTTGATGAAAAATGTCATAACTGAGTGAATGACACTTAATGACAGCTGTCACAAACATGGATAAAACTTAATATCTCATGTCATGATTATGAAGGTGTCATGCTAGTCTTATGCACACCCCTTCAAGTAAAGTGTTACCATTTTATTTTAAAAAGGACCAAAAGGTACCAGTATTTTACCATTGTGGTTTTTGAAGTCCTTTGAAGTGAATATGGTTATGATTTTATGCTTTGTTATACAGTACCTGTATTGAGAATTTGTAAGCATTTTGAACCGGAGAGTATGTGAAGAGTTCAGATGCAAAAGCCTCTAAGTGCCATTTGAAATTTTCTTCTAAAATTATCATTTTTATCAAGCTTGTATATTTAAGTTCAGTAATTTCACTTAAATGGCAATGAAGATTACCTATTAATTGTCATTTAAGTGAAATTACTGAACTTAAATACACAAGCTTGATAAAAATGGTCATTCTAGAACAAAATTTCAAATGGCATTTAGAGGCTTTTGCATCTGAACTCTTCATGTATTAATTCATGTATCCCTTAAAAAAGCTGCATGATGCCAGTATTTGGACTGAATGAATGTTTATTATGTGTGGAGCAGTATTGTGTACTCAAGCAGGCAGCATATATTAGCCTCATTAATTATCATGCTAGTGTAAATCATGTGTTGGCTATTGCCCAGCAGTCATCTGTAATTTGGATGGCACAAGAGTCTGTCAGATGATGCCAAGAACCTACAGAGAGCGCTGAGATGTGAAAAATCCATCTCACTCCTTAGACTCTGTGTGAGGTGAAGTCCCACTATAAATTTTATTTCAGGTCAGCTCAAAAGCTTGAGTTAGCAGCTCCTTTGGCTACAGGTATAATCAGACTTTAATAGAGAAGTAGTCTGTATTACTGCAGAAGGTCAAAGCTGAGTTGGCATTGTGATAAAAGAAATGATCTCACGTGTCTACCGCTGTTCAATCAAATGGGTGCACTCTGTTTTGTCTTCTCTGCCTTTTTAAAGTCAGTGAGCTTGTTTATGCACATCGATATGCTGAAAACTCCCAAAAGCTTATTAGTATTTATATAGCACCTTTAACCGTGGCACTGAACAATTTTTTAAACTAAGGGGTACATCGAAAAGAAAAGGCTGAAGGAAGAATGTACGTTCATTGTACAAGGGTGAGTAAGTAGGGTGGTGCTACAGTGAGAACAGAGGCTATTTATTTATTTATTTATTTAAAAGGGACAATGCATATTGATAAACATTTTAGTAATGTAAATATGCCAGAATTAGCCCCAGGGCTACTTTCCATCTGCAGTCCCCCGCGTCAGGTCATAACAAAACAACACATAACAAAACTAACATTTAAGTTTACATAGAATACTACACAGTTTAAAGAACACCTTAAAATTCAGTAACAATTACGAAAGACACCACTGTTTTCACACAAATTACACATATACAGTAAAGTGCTATTCTATGTACTTCGAGTGCGTTGCAATTATGCTAAAATACTGGAATTAGAATAAATGCTGGAATTACAATAAATACTCAATCTGGTTTGATATACATACAGATGCTTACACATTACTACAGGCAAGCAAACAGTCCTGACCGCAGGAGCGAAAACTGCGTAGTGTCCCCTAGGACTGTTTTATATGGAGTAGGAGTTTACTCCAATGAAGGGGAGCCAGGAGGGAGAAGGAATGGAAACGGGATTGAACACAGGGCGAGGGTGGGACCGAGAGGGACAGCAGAGATTGAGAGCGAAAGCAACGGGAGGGAACATAGGTGATAAGTGCAGCCAGATGTGGTGGAGGGATTTGTAGACTAGCATATGGAATTTAAAAGAGCGATAGGAGCCAGTGTAGCTGGTATGAAGGAGTGAGGGAGGTTGAATATAATAAGGGCAGAGGCGGTATGGAAATAACTTTTTTTGTTTACAAGACTTTATTATTAATCAGGTTATTTCGCTATTGTGAAAAATCATTATTTAATGTGACTAGAATTCCTTATGTTATGTCAGTTATGATGTTAAATAAATCATTATAAACTGAAGAGTATTCCAGTGGTAAACTAACACACTCATTTATTGTCCTCTCACGCAGTTACTTATGCAGAATTTTGATTGAATCATTAGTACTTCAGCTGCATGAGATGAGAACACATTTTTATAATTACTTGGGTCAAGAAAGAGTCAGAGTTTGTATATTTCCTTGAAATACTCTGAATGCGCTTAAAGGGTTAGTTCACCCAAAATTAAAAATTCTGTTTGCGATATGCAAATGAAGATATTTTTTATGACATCTGAGCAATTTCTGTCCTGAGCTTCAACTTTGATGCGTCAAAAAGTTCATAAAAACCAATCCATATGAATTGAGCAGTTTAGTCCAAATTAACAGATTTAATTTAGGATTTTATTTATGATCACTCATCAACACACACATCAGTTGTGGTAAATGGAAGCTCAAGCATGCTTGCTTGATGTGGGATAACTAATGAGCTTCGACTTTGTGTGTTACGCAGCATGTTCCGGTTTGTTCTTTCGTGTCAAGCAGGTTCGGTTTAGCCTCTGTTTACGTCCGCTGAGGAATGATTATATGTCAATAAAAGCGTAATATATATGTATAGTATATTGTGTTCTAACCTTTTAAATCCACATGTAAGGATGCTTTTCTCTCACATATCAAACAAGCACAATTCATAAGCCGAAAGATCTCAGGTTAATGTGTGCAAATACTAGGAGAAATCGGGTATGGGGCAAAAAATCTAGCATTTGTTGATCGATTTATGCTTAAGCCATTTATGACCTTACTCCGATAAAGAGGTAAGCAGGTTAATGCGTTTACATGACCACACAAATTTTGGCTTATTAAGCATAATCAGGTTAAGAATGTGCATGTAAACATACTCAATGTTAAATCAACATTGACCCTATTTACTTTTTTTCCTTTCATGTTCCTTATTGTGAACGATTAATCTTTGCTAGTTATCAAAATGTTCTTCATGAATTTGAATTTAAATTGAACAAGTTACTCTTCCTCATGTTTTGATTTTTAACACCACACAACCAATTGGATAATGTTGGCCAACAACCTAATGGCTACTTATTAGTCATTGTTTTAGCAAACTTACATTCAGTTCATCCAATCAGTTTTAAATAGATAAAATCAAGCCCCGTCCCTATTTTTCACAGAACTGAAGTGAAATGGGTTGCGAACAAGAATGCACTTTGAATTTAATACTTAGTGCATATATTTTGGACACATGAAAATCTTCATTAGCCAAACAAAACAGATTCTCATAGCCCTAACAAATACTTGAAATAGTATATATATTATATTAAGATTAATTAAGATTCCAATTAAGATTCTGTTAGAAAATTATTTTTGAGGGGCCGTTTAAATTATTTATTAATCATTTTAATTATTCAGGCTAAGCATGTTTAAGTGGATTAAATTCTGACTTAGGTATATTAACTTAATGGAGGTTTTGGAAGATTCCTCCTGTGACTGTGTGAAAGTCTTTTGATAAAGTTGATTTATTTCTTTTGATGAACTCAACCATTGAATAATTATTTCACCTTTTGAAGTACATTAAGCTTTTGTGGTGAATACAGACAATCAAGACAAACTGCTCTCGGCTAAATTTGTGGCATGACAAATGTTGCCTGCTTTGTGAATTCAGAGTGCAGAATATAAAATATAGCTGGAAATAATATGAAGCCAACTGAAATTATCTGTCAGAATTTGGAAAAGAGAAAAACTAAGAAAGACTGCACAAGTGCATTGCAGAATGGCCTGTAATTGGTATCTTAAATGAAGTGCTTGGCATATCCAGCTGAACTCAAAATATCTTACTTCTGAGAGTGAAAATACACATTTTTTGGCTTGAAAAATAGCTTTTTTAAACAGCATGAAAATTTGAGGTAGTGTATTTGGACCACCTGCCACTCGACACCCAGCTCTCATAGCATGCAGTCAAGTATTTACTTCTCTCACAAAAGCTTTTTTAAAGACAAAAGCTTTTTTTCCTTTTTTTATTTTTTCCAAATACGAACATAGCTCTTAGCATGCTCATAGCACAAAAGCAGGCCTAATGCCCTGATCTTAGCTTTCAATATATTGCCTCAACTTTGTCATTACGATACGATTAAATAATAATATGCACGCAGGGACACCTCACTGGCCTGCAGTCGATGAAACATTTTCAAAAAAAGGCTTTAGCCTGTTAATCCTGAAATCTCTTTAGCTTCTTCTGGATTCCTTTTTACTTTTCATTGTGACTGGTGAGAATGGTGCTAGTAGACGTACTGTCAGGCTGTAGTTTTACTTGACGGAATCTCTTATGGGCAACTTCCCACCGTACATCAGCTACTGAACATCCCATGTGTACTTGTTCATGATCACTTAATGTAACTGAATTCTATTTATGCAGATTTTTGCTAAATGCTTAATTATTTTGCATGCCTAAAGAGGAGAGGAAGATGATATTTTGTAATTGGATGCTTGAAGGAATATTCTGGGTTCAGTACAAGTTAAGCTCAAATCAACAGCATTTGATTTCCGCAAAGAAAAATTTCTGGTTGCCTTTCAATCTGGGTTGCAGTGAAGTACTTCCAATGGAAATGAATGGGGGCCAATCTGTAAACGCAATAATAACCTACTTAATTTGTTGAATTGGG